CCCAAATTAAATAATTAAAAAAAAATTTTGCTATCTGCCTTTTGGTATCAAATGGCTTTGTACTACCCAAGTGCAGCATACTTATCCAATCCAAGTAGCTAGACTTAATCACTCCTATGACAAGAAAACAACACTGGAATATGGAGCAAGGAATAGGTCTGTCTTGAAAGACATTTAACTTCACTGTCAGGTACAGAGGTGATCTGACCACCAATGGAGGCTGGACTGAGTGGGCCTTAGCTGGCCATTGTTCCTGAAACCTGGCAAACTGGCAACCTGCTATGATTTCCACTGGATAAAAGCATCTCAGTGGCCTAGGACTACTATGATTTTACTGATGAGGCAGTTGTTTATCATTGGATAATGTTTACCTTTAGCTATAAGAGCTTCATGAAACCTTCGCACATAGCTCTTTTAGTATACATACATACATGCATCCTGGGTGCAGGCTCACTCCCACACTCGACCAGGAGTGACTCTTTTTCTTCCCTATACCTTCTGATACCTAGACTTGAATAAAGACCCTCCCTCTTCCAGTCCAGAGTCTACCCTACTTTCTTAGGTTAGGATGTATAAGACTTCTTGCTCAGGAAAATTCCACCATATTTCTGGTGTATGAAATAGCCTGTATATACACCTGTCACTCCTCAATGCTCAATATTAATACATCTTTGAGTTCTACATGATTATTTCAATTCCTAGGACAAAAGTAGGTACTCAGTAAATATTGGTTGAACTGAGCAGAACTGAATTACAAGGAAGATGGCAGTCTGTGGAAGCACTTCATACCTTGTTAGCTAATAAGAAAGAGACATCATTTTCTAGCATTTCCCCCCAGTACTTTATAGACTTCGTGGAGTAGCAGGTACAAATGTTATGAACTATAAGCAAAGTGGTATGTGTTGTAATACTTCAAATCTATAAAAAATGTTCACTGAGCACAGTAGTGAATGATTCATATTGGGAAGTAGAATAGACAAGGTTTCCTAAAGAAAAGGACAAATGTGGGTCTCGAAGTTGGAGCTATCTTTTGTTAGGCTCAAAGGGCCTGATGTGGAAGTGGGGTGCATGGAAAGCGCATGTTTGGAGAGAGGAAGCAGTTTGAATAGGCATGGACACATTAATGACCGTACTAGATAACAACCTCAATGTGCTGCTGTCTCGATTGAAGAAGCTAACATACCCAGAAGACTCTTGACAGCAACTCAGAACAGGAGCTTGGGGACTGTTGAATGAATCTGTGTTCAATGACGTGTGTCGCTTCCCCACCACCCCCAACTCCTCCCCTTTTCTGGCTGTAGCTCTCAGTAGTAAATGAAGGACCAGTGGAGTTTCTATACATCTGCTTTTAAAAACCAGAAAAGGTATGGCAGATCACAAAGCCGGCTTTTAAAGAACACAGGGTTTGAAGCGTGTGATTGAATCGGAATACAACAAATGGTTGAAAACTAGAGCACTGGAATGACTAGGGTTCCTGCAAAAAGAAAGAGACTCAGTCATACAAGCAAGAAATCAATTTTAAAGTAAGACTTGGAGAGGGATATTTTATCTAGTATGTATATGTCGACCCAAAGAAGACTATAATTCTATTTTTCAGGCCAGATATTTAAGCTGCATTATTTAAGTGCAGCTAATAATAACAGAAATTTTATTTCATTCTTTAGCTTCTTAGCCTATGGACTTGAAGAGATAGAGCCCACTGATATTTCAAGTCAAGAGACTCTAAATATCTTGTTCAAATGTTTTATTATATATTGTTCCTATATACTTTTTATTGGGAAAATTAAATATTCAGTGAGAAGAGAGTACAGTTATCACAGACCCCTTACTATCTAAAATTATATATTAGAATGAACAGATCATACAGCTGAAATCATCTAGTTAGCTCTCCTAATTCTGATGCCTTTAAAGTCCCAGAGTACATGCAGAAGGTAGAGTTCGTCTCTTTTTAGTCAGTTTACATTATTCCACTCAGTGTCCTTGGAAAATAAAGTGCCCTCTTTATGTGGATTTAAATGTGTACTCAGAATAGAAAATTGCATGTGTATTCTGTGGAAACAAATAGCATTCTGCAGTTAAATACATTTCTTTGTTACTATGCTCCACACATAAGTACAAACATTCATTTTGTTTTAAAAATGTCCCTCCATAAATGGCATTTTTTTTTTTCACCTGTAGTGTAGTCATAGGCAAGAACCAGAGTGGAAAGCTTTCTACACAAAATGTTCTTTATTCAAAGGCAATAAGGTATATATGTGGTTATTTTGCCAAACTGTTTTACAAGACTTCTGTTTTTATCCCAGCTCTATGAACCTCACAGAAATACTTTGCTTGGTGCAGAGAAAATTCCGATTTCATGCTTGGAAGAATTTTATCAAATATTTATGGACACAAAATATTTATTCCTGCTATACATGCGCATATCATTAATACACACACACGCGCATACACACTTTCAGTCCTCACTCATCCTGATCTAGATAAGCAGCTGAAATCTATCTCACGTGAATTATCCAAGAGGACATTTTTCGTACAATAAATGTAACCTTTGCACCCTGCTCTTCTCAAACCCAACATGGACATTTAGTTTACAGTCATAAGTATCCCAGAAAAAAAATAAAATAAGATAAAATGAGTGCATGGTACCAGTCAAATATTTTTTAATTAGCCACCTGGGTTTAGCTACTTGATTAATAACTGGTTAATGTGGGGGCATAGCCTTCCAGGTTCATGCATGGCTACAGCTCACACATGTTCAGTTGCTGATGCAATGAATGGCTAAAAGCATGAGGAAATTGTGATGGTTGGGTAAGAACAAGGACATCAAAAATATCTGAATGTATGTGCCCATGACTATTATATCCTGCTCATACCTGCCACATCAGTGGTTCTTATAGTGCAGGCTGGACACCCTCAGTCTCAGTGTCCAGTGGGCATTTGAAAATGCAAGTCCTTGTGTCACACCACAAACCTACTGAATGAGAAGCTCTGGGTGTGGAGCCAGGCCATCTGTGGTGCACCAAACCCTTCAGGTAATGGTGGGAGAGCCTCAAGTTCTTACCTAGAGGCCACTGACTTCAAGGACTTCTTGTGATTACCTCCTTAAAAATTACTTGAGGGGCACCTAGGTGGCTGCATCAGCTAAGGGTTTGTCTCTTGGTTTGGGCTCAGGTCATGAGTGGTCCTGGGATCAAGCCCCGCCTCAGGCACCCCACTTGCAGGGAGCTTGCTTCTTTCCCTCTCCTTCTGCCCTGCTCCCACCCCTTTCTTTTGATTTCTTTCTCTATCTTCTCCCCACTCAAATAAATAAATGAATCTTTAAAAAATATTACTTGAACCCAAATCCCTGCTTAGTGTCTGCTTTGAAGGTAATCCAAATTAAAACATTGTGTTTACACTGTGTCAACACACACACAGGCATTATAGTCCTAAAAACAAGTTAGTAACAGTCATAGCAGAGTTGTTGTTTTGAAATAAAATATATTTTTGCATGTTTGTTTTTCTTACTTTAATGTGAGCCCTTTAAGGGCAAAAGGTAACAGGTATAATTTATCTTTCTATCTCCTAGGCCTATGAAAGTGCCTGGCAAATAATAGATCTTCAAAGAATGTTTGTGAAATTAATATATAAATGGATAAAATTGATAGCTTTTAAAAATTTAACTAATGTTGATGACTATAAGGATATCAAGGGTTACAGCTGAACAGTAAACAGTTTACAGTAACTGTTTACAGTAAACTGTTTACAGTAAACAGCTCTAGGAACCCCAAGTCAGTCACCACCTAATAAGAAATACATATAATCATAGTGCCACTGAAGAATATGTAAACTATTTCTGAGAACTGACAGTGAGCTGTGTGTGTATAGGGATTCCTGTCTTCTGAGTTCAAGTAATGTATTGCTGTGTTTGACAGAAATGCTGTTTTATATTCATACTGGAACATTTGTTGCTGAAAATGTAAGTGTTTGAAGTATTTATAAAGTTATTTTTCACATATGAACTGAGATTTCAAGGTTAGAACCATTTATCCCCATGGAGAGAAGATATAAATGAAAATATTACCAAAACTCACAGTGTGGATGAAGGTCATGACAACATTGCTGTGTCAAATAAAGAAAAAAAAAATACTTGAAATTATTTTCTGTAAATGGGAATGTTCCCATTGTGAGAAGCTAGTTATTTCTACAGTACAGTCTGTGTGGTGCAAATCTCTATTCACTACCTACCAGTTTTTATTTTTATAACACTTTAAATGGGTACAGTAATTTATAGCTGGTGCCCAGGATATCTCTCTTAGAGAGATATGTCTTAAGAAGAAAAGTATTATTATCTATATTTCTTTTCTTGCATTAATTTTCTTTTGGTTATTGCAAACATTAAAGGGAAATATATGGGCAGTATAATTATCATACTTAATACTTTCCAGAAATACTGTATATTGAATGTGAAATAGGCTAGGGAACTTATTAGGCAATTGTTAAAACTTGCAGAGCTCCACCACATCTATTTTTTCTAAAGTATATAAAATCAATTGAAACTGAATTCTTTCTAGTGAAACTTAGGACCGTCTGGGTCTCATTTATTCCAAAGATAATATCCTAGGCTCTGATCTAGAGATATTTTGTGGAGAATCACTAGAAAGAGGCTAGTGAGATCCCTTATTTGGAATTTAATCAGTTTAATTCCTCATTCTTTCTCCTGTGGCTCTGGTCCTTTGCATCACCCCTCATCCCTTCTTATTCATTTTACTTGCACTCCTGTAGGAATGCATATCTCTCTGGGGCTCTGAGTATTCTTCTCTACTGTTCCACCTGCAGAGAGGTTTTCATCTTATCCTAGATCCTGGAAGTGACCTGGCCCTTGTATTTTACCCTCTTTTTTTTTTTTTTTAATTCAGTTTAATTTAATTTTAAATTCCAGTATACTTAACATACAGTATTGTATTAGCTTCAGGTATACAATATAGTGATTCAGCAATTCCATACATCACCAAGTGCTCAAAAATATGGAATGCTTCATGGATTTCTGTGTCATCCCTGGACACGGGCCATGCTAATCTTCTCTGTATCATTCTAATTTTAGTATATGTGCTGTTGAAGTGAGCACTTACCTTTTGTTCAAAAAGGTATGGGCAAGTGACTTCTCACCTTAAAAACAACAACGAAGGGGCGCCTGGGTGGCTCAGTGGGTTAAGCCTCTGCCTTCAGCTTGGGTCATGATCTCAGTCAGGGTCTTGGAATCATGCCCCACATCAGGCTCTCTGCTCAGTGTTGAGCCTGCTTTCCCCTCTCTCCTGCCTGCCTCTCTGCCTACTTGTGATCTCTTTGTCAAATAAATAAACGAAATCTTAAACAACAACAACAACAAAATGGTAGTAACATCAGGCAAAGAATGTGTTAACTACCACTTACTGTGGTAAAAGTTTTTCAATATATACACATATCAAACCATCACATCATCCATCTTAAATTTACATGTGTTTTATATCAATTATATTTCAAAGCTGAAAAAAAGTCAGACTATTTTTTTTTAAGTAAGTCTTTTAAAAACAAACAAATAAACAAATAGCTATGGGATTTCAATCTCCCATTTCCTTGTTGGTGATTCTTCTAACCAAGATTAGGATATCTTGTTTACATTTATTTTCTCTGATAGCCATAGCATCTCATTCATTTTTCAGAAATACTACATAAATACAAGAAAATTCTCATAACTAAGAGGTAAGAAAGCTGAATCACACAGGAATCTACATAAGCTCTTCACTTCAATAAGAGGGTTCTACAACAAAGAATTTTGCAAGGAGGGAAAAACAGGTAGCAATTTTTTCACTTCAGAGTTGCTGTCCCAGTTTCTTTCTCATTGGGGAGTATCTGGAATACTTTGGTTTGTCAATTGGAGAATTGAATTTTTCCAGTTTAACACCTGCTGTAAAAGATCATATTTTGAGCCCCAAACTGAGCTGTAAATTTTGAAGTGATACATGCTCTGAATTACTTTTCTTCCTTGACACAGAACCACTGAGGAAACTTATACTAAAGGATTGCAAACAAAACTTGTCCTCCCCTGGAAAAGAAATGATGTGGGGAAAACATCTCCCCTTTGGAGGAGCTACTGTAAATTAAAAAGAAAGATCTCAGTGTGAAGTTGCTAGTGTTCTGTTGCAGAAGGAAAAAAAAAAAAACCCTATCAGGTCTTTTGGTTGAGTGAAAATTTAAAAAACAAAAGAGAGAGAGGACAATGAAATGTGTGTAACACTTAAAAAGCACTTTTGGAAGCTGGAGACCAACGATTTTACAGGTGAATATCAAGATGGTAGAAAATAAATCTCAGTAGACTGGCAGATGAGCTTAATGAAGTAACAGAGGATGAATCAATGTTTATCAACTTAATCAGCAGTTAATGAACCTCTGATTAAGAGTCACAGACCAGATGAAGTAATGGCAGACAGATATGTCAAGTTCAGAGCAGTGGGAATATCCAGAGGAGAATAAAAGTGTTTCTACTACCCATAAAGAAACAAACACAGACATGAAGCATCGTGAAAAGGCTTTGTACTCTCTAAAATGATTTTTGTAAGAATTAGTTGACCATGGTATAATGTAATTGTTGTTTTCTTTTGTTTCAGTCTTTCTTCTTATAAAGACATAAGACACTGATAGAGTGCAAAGTGTTAATATCTTTGCTAAGGGGGGGCGCCTGGGTGGCGCAGTGGGTTAAAGCCGCTGCCTTCACCTCAGGTCATGATTTCAGGGTTCTGGGATCGAGCCCCGCATCAGGCTCTCTGCTCAGCAGGGAGCCTGCTTCCTCCTCTTTCTCTGCCTGCCTCTCTGCCTACTTGTGATCTCTCTCTCTCTGTCAAATAAAATAAAAATTGTTAAAAAAAAAAAAAAGATCTTTGCCAAGGTTTTTGTTCATTCTTTTGTTTTTTGTTTTGTTGTTGCTGCTGTGGTTTGCTGAGCGCACCCAGCCTCTGGAGAAAGTGGGAAGCATAATTACAAAATTACTCTATTCAGGTTATATCTAAAATAAAATCCATGGGAACTTCTGAATATTTTGTTAGGAAGTGACCAAATACTACTGGATGAGGTAAACTTATAAAAACTTCACAGAACAAGAAGGGATAATTCGTATAGGGTAAGATGCTGGATGACTTAAATAAATCAAACAAAACAGTCCAAATAATTTAGAACTAACAGTTCATTTATACAACAACCGAGTAATTGTCTTGATAATATTTGCTCAATCTAAATTATTCCCTATTTAATCACCCCTCACTGAATTCTCACTCATGTAAACAATACACGACAGTGCCTGCAGCATACAAGAAACCAACACGACTGCAAGTGGCTGGAAGGATCCAGTGACACAATTTTGTGGGTGACACAAAATTCAAACAAGAAGCTTAAAGAGAAATTTGGAGACATTCCCACTATCTAATACTTCCTTGGTTATGCCCACTTGTGAATGGATCCCATGTTTCGAAAAATCTTGACCGCCAAACTGCATTGTTCGGGGAATACTTAATTTGTGTCTCTTTTTCTTAACAGAAGACAAATAACAAATATCTGAGATAGCCAGTTTCCCCACAGTGAAAAGGTACAATTCTACCCCAAAGCAAAGGAACCCAACGTTTTAATTAGTCTGTACAGCTGGATCTTGAATAAAGGTGCAATTTTCATTAGTGTTTTGGACATTTCCAAATTTCTTAAAACCCTATATCCAATTACTCTTGCTCTAGGAAATTTAGGGTCTCAGATACCCTCAGCTGTAAAGAGATCTTTGGACCCCAGAGAACAATTAATAAGTAACAATAGTTGCAACAACAGTGAAGCCCAGCCAAAATCCTTAATTAGGTTTTTATTGAACTCCAGGATACAATTTATTTTTCTAATAAACAGAGTACATTTTAATATGTTTGGCATTTTATTGTTCTACTTACCTTTCAGTTGTGCAATTTTATTTTATTAAACTATGATATTTTTAGCCTCTAAAACAGTTACCTCCCTACCTAGGGTACATCCCCAGAAGCAATTACTTCTTTAATTAGCTTTGACTCATTAATCTCTGCCTCTAACACTTTGCTATCAGGTGCAGGGGGACTTCCCACCCACTTGTACAGTATAATACAAACATCACAATAAGTTTATCTTGATTGTTTCACATTACTTAATTTTTAAAAAAATGAATAGAATTTTTTTTTAGAGGATTTTGTTTCATAGTAAATAGAGCACAACGTATAGAGATTTCCCATATAACTGCTACCCCCTACACACACACGCACAGTACTCCGCCCCCCTCATTATCAACACACCCCACCGGAGTGTACACGTGTTACAACTGATCTGTCCACACTGCAGCATCAGTATGACTCAGAGTCCATAGTTTATGTTAGGGTTCACTCTTGATGTGGTACGTTCTGAGGATTTGGACAAACTGTACAGCGATATGTATCCACCATAATGGCATCATACAGGGTAGTTTCATGAGCCTAAAAATCCTCTATGCCTCACCTTCTCATCCCTTTCTCCCCCATAAGTCCTGGCAACGACTTATCTTTTTTACTGTCTCCATAGTTTTGCCTTTTCCAGAACATCACACAGTTGGAATGATATGGTCTGTGGCCTTTTCAGATTCACCTCTTTCACTTAGTAATATGCGTTTAAGTTTCTTCCATAACGTTACATCTCTTGTTCGCTGTTTTGGGTGTTGTTCTTAGTGCTGAATAGTATCCCCTTGTCTGGATTTACCACGGGTTTTTATTCATTCACCTAGCAAAGTATATCTTGGTTGCTTCCAGATTTGTTAATTATGAATAGAGCTGCTATAAAACATCCATGTGCAGGCCATTCAGATGGCCATAATATATGTCTCATATATATACAGTCTTCATTTGTTGTTCCTAGCTCACATCTGCCAATTCCCTTGAAATTTCCTGAGTGGATATGAGCAGTGGATCTTTTGTTTTAATATTTCGTCTCTCATCATCAGTTCCTGAAAATGCTTCAAAGCCATGATGGTGAAATGGGCATCTTCTTATTCCTAACAAACACCCCTCAAACACAAATGAGTTTATATTAATGAGATGACTTTTGGAAATGCTTTAAAGATGGGGGCTGTTACCAGGGGAACCAACCATGAATAGAGGGTTAGAACCTTCAGGCCTACTCTCTGATGTCCGAGAGGGTAGAAGAACTGGAGCTTGAATCAATCACCAATAGTCAATGATTTAAAAATCAGTCATACTTCTATAATGAAGCCTCCATAAGAAACCAAAAGGAGAATATTCAAAGAGCTTCTGGGTTGGGGAACCAGAAAATTATACATGCCAGCATGCTGGGCTCCAAACTCTGAAAGGACAGAAACTACTTTGTTCAGGACCTCAATGCATTTCTTCATCTGGCTATTGATTTGTATCCTTTAATGTCCTTTGTAATAAACTGATGATCTAGAGTGGACTCGTTGGCTAGTACTGTTGGCTGCTTTAGCAAATTAATTGAACCCAGGTAGAGGGATGTGGGAATCTCCAAGCTTGTCAATTTGAAGCCCAGGTAACAGTTGCCTGGCAATTGGCATCTGAAGTAGAGAGCAGCTTTGTAGGACTGAGCCCTTAATGAAAGGAATCTGATACTATCTTCTCGTAGAACTGGGGTGCAGAACTCCTAGCTGCATCATATAAGTTCTATTTTTATTTTTGTTCATTTGAGAGAGAGAGAACATGGGTGTTGGGGGGCAGAGGCAGGGGCAGAGGGAGCGGAAGAAGCAGACTCCCTGTTAAACAGGGAGCCTGATGTGGGGCTCAATCCTAGGACACCAGGATCATGACCTGAGGTGAAGACAGATGCCACCCAGGTGCCCTTCTATTTTTAATTTTTTTGAGGAATCTTCATATTTTTTTTCCCCATAATAGTTGTAAAAATTTATATTCTTATCAATGGCGCACGAGGGCTCCCCTTTCACCGTATCCTTGCCGGAAATTATCTCTTAACTTTTTGATACTAGTCACTCTAACAGGTGAAAGGTGATATCTCCTTGTGGTTTTGAGTTGTATGAGTTTCTCCGATGATGAGTGATATTGAGCATCTTTACAAATCTGGGGGAAATTTATA